GCAAGACTAATAAAGTTTTGTGTAAATTGTTATTTAGCAGATAATCTTTCCTTAAACATATCAATGTACTACCTCTTAATCATCAATTTATTAAGTTTTTGAACCAATCAAAACATGTCCCTATTAGACAGTTTCCATGGACCATGTTAAGTTGATTACTTATAAAAAGCACTAAAATACTACATTAATTTTCTTAAAAAATCTTTATGACAAGCAGCTCAAGAGGGTTTTCTTGAAATCATTGTAGCAAATTAACTACCTCCTTTATGTAAAAGTCTATCTAATTAAATACTATAGAGTAAAGAAACTGTTTAAATAATTCTTTAATTTATGCGTAGTTTGGCCAGATTTGTTTATATTTCCAGAAGTGTGTAATTTGTCCGTCCATATTGCTTAATTGACAAAAGAGGAGCTATAAAATAAAAAATTTAAGAGTACATCGAGATATTTTTATTTTTGCTCCATCCTTAACTAGTAGATTCGTCACCTTATTCTACTCGCGAAAGTGATGCGTGATATCGAGGCCCTAAGTTATTGCATCAAATACCTGCATACATTTATTTGAGATAAAGTTATAAATTCATGATCTTTATTAATTAAGATTGATTACTTCAATAAAGTAGGTGCAAATTAAATCTCGTTGGATTTTATGTTGCTATAGGCTTCAGAAATATTTTTAGAAAAATGATAAATGTCTATAAGAAAATATATTTAGCAACAGTTAAAATATTGTTGTTAATTAATTCCAGCTGAAATTAATTTTTGGCGTAGTGAAAGCAAAGTAATAATTCAGTTAAGTCATCTCAGTGCTCATTAGAATCTATAAGATAAAAATAAGATTAGATAGCTGGAACTGTGGATTAGTAAATTTAAATCATTAATCATGTAATTTGAGACTCACCTAAAGCAAATAGTATTTTGGAGTATAGTATGAGTTGAAATATTTTGTAATTAAGGATTATGCCCAAAAAATCTAGCTAGGAGTACCTTTTTAAGGAACAGATGAGCTGGAATTGCAATTTGGGAAGATGTGATATCCAGCTCCTTAGTAATTTCGTTTTTGTTATTATTATTAGCACTTTTTTGTTTCTCTTAATGGTAGTTATAATCCAGATTAACGTTTCAAATAATTGGAGTTTATCTCATAAATTTCCCATACTTTAATGATTAGAAAAATAATACTGACACGATAGGCTAACAAGAATAAAAGTGAGACTATCGTTACTTTATCGGACATGATAGAATTATGTCAAATGGTGGACAAACATCAAGGAAAAAAAAAGTTATTTCGCAAATATATGAAGAATAATATATAGTGAAATAAAATACTATAATGTACATCATGCCACTATCGATTTCTTCGATTAAAATACATAATACAAGTGTATATAAAAAAAAATATGTCATCATTAAAGGTGGTTCATTTCATTATCAATTCTATTAAAAAAAAATTAAACGTGAAATGTAAATTTGATTTCTAGAATTTTTCACCTACTTTATTAAGCTCTACTTCATTAATATGTCTTTTTCGAAATTGTGTACGTTCTAGAAAACGACGATCAGTCATTGGTAAATCGTAATCAACCTCGATAATTAAAATGCAATTGACTGATCCATGTTAATAGCGTGATGATTGTCTGCCCTATTTTGTAGGAATAAATTAAAATAAATCTCTTTAAGTTGATTATGATTGAGAACTAATACCAAATATATTATGTATTCTCTTGACTTTCTGCTCTTTTAACATTGGATTGTAATGAACAAATACGATAATGTAATATCATGATTCATGTACTTAATTCACAATTTTGTTAATTTTCAAAAGGAAGATTATTTAAATTATGTAAACGATGATACATAAGGATATTTCTTGGGTTAAATGATTGTCCTATCCTTGAAGATTGAAGATTTGATCTAACCGCTAAAGAGTATATTATAATTTTTTTTGGTTTCCCACCTAATACATAAGGACATTTCTTGTGTTAAATGATATTGTCCAATCCATGAAGATTTGATCTAGTTGCTAAAGAGTATACTATATATTTTTGGTTTTTCACTTGTTGATCGGAGTACATATAAGAGCTCTTTGATTAAATTTGAATCATTCACTGCGGGATCATATTTTCTCAATACCCTCGACCCAAACTCAGAGTCGAAACATTTGATTAAAGATGAAACTGTATCACGACCCATTATACAAAGTATACTATATATAAATCTTCATAGTTCACAGTATAGACTATAGAGGATGATTAATCAAAAAAATTAGTTGTTCTAATTTGTACATAATTGATATGACTAATCTGAAAAATAAAATAACCTCATCACATGGACGTACATCATGGAAAAGATAAGTGTCGAGACAAAGAGATCTTAATTAACTGTCACTTTACCTGGCTAATTAATAGAGAGATGGTACGTAGAGAAAAACAAAATTGTAAGTATATTGTTTAAACTAAGGACTAAATTAGTTTATTGTTTAACCATATATGTAAATAATATTATATATGGTCCATAAATCCATATGCAAATAGTCCATGCCCTATTGGAGGAGTAGGGTATCCCAATTAAGGTGATGATACCTTCAAACAAAGAAAAAATATACTTGTAAGGAGGAATCATTTTTGGTGGAGCATTAATTCTCTCCTTCTGAGCTTTTGTTTAATTATCCCTCTATTTAAACTATTCCTCCTATGGTCTAATTCTTTAACTATAAAGCCAAGTTAGTTAGTTGTCATCGAAAAAAAATAACTTTTAACAGTAATAAAACATTCCGATTAATAGTATTGTGGAAGTGTCATATGACAAAGAATGTGATGTATATGAAAGATTTGTATTTATTGTAAAAATTCTGTTCTCTCTATGATTAATATCTCCTTTTTTTTTTCAAATCTCATAACTTACTATAAAATCTTTCAATGTTTCTTTTCATGGCAAGAATATCATTTATGATATAGAGGATGAGATTAAGAAATTGATTCAGAGTTTTAACAGAGTAAAATCATACAATCATTAATAACTACTTCCACATCTTAGACTCATAACTCTACAAATCACACGATAAGACAATCTTCAACATTGCTATAAGGCTCATCTTCGAAGTATTGTTTTAAAGATCACTTGTAAACTTTTGAAAATACTAAAATGGATCACCATAAAAAAGAAGAAAAAAAAGCAAAAGTATTTATGTGGAAGATATATATTATCAGGAGATGATGATCAGACATGAAAGATAGACCATAAATAGGGGAATATGTTTCACAAGAAGGAGGCATATAAACAGCGACTAAATAGTTGAGTTAAAAACATATTGAAAACGAACCAAATGTATGAATGCAAAACGTGGCTGCATTAATATAATAGATATTAAATGAAAGGTGCATATTGAATCAATGATTGCCGGATAAGACCCTTTTTTTGTACAAAAAATTTCACCACTTATCCTTTTCAAAATAATTACTATTGTAATTTATAAACATTTTAGAGCATAATCTAAAAGTTAGTCGATTGTATAATATAATGTTTTGTTATTAATCCTAAACACTATAATGTTTTTTTTTTAAAAATCATATGTCCCCGAAGGAACTTTTAAAAATAGGGGCAAAATATGAATAGTGACAAATTAAAAGGAACATTTGAATAAAATGACCAGTACATTTTGTATCTGCTTAAAAAGTTCTTCATTTAACAAAACCAACGAATAGATCTTAAAATAGAGTTACAGTTCTGCTTTAATACAAAAACAAGATGCGCCAAGTTATTTAAAGATTTCACCATAGGAGACTAACATAAAAGAAAATGCCTTTAATAGAAGGAATAAAAAGAACATAATGATAGGATCGAAATAATTAGGTGTAATGCGGAAGCTATTAAAGCAAACATCAAAAGACCATGAGTAAGAATACAAATGGAAAAATATATAAAAAGATACAAAAATTTAACGTGATCTGTCAATTGACCTACATCCACAAAGGAAATGAGCAATCCACCATAAATATGAGAGTAAAAAATATATAGAGAGCACAACCTCAACCAATTCACTTGGAATACAAGGAGGTTCACAAAATTCAAGTAATTCACCATAAATATGAGAGTACAAAATATATAGAGAGAACAACGTCAACTGATATACTCGAAATACAAGGAGGTTCACAAAATTTTCTCCCAAATTCAAAACTCTCAAAAACCCTAAGAATTACGTTGTGAATGTTGATTAAGTTAAAAGGAACGATCTCTATTTATAAAGTGTTATACCTTTTTTCTACAAATTGGATAATAACGCTATACGAAAATGACATGTTAACCTTCCAAATTGAGAAAATACCTACCATTTACTAGAGTACTCGTTATTTTTAATTTTCTATCAACCCCGACCCGGCCCCTACCCACCATTTACATCAACACAAGTTCTGACTTTTGATTGCAAATTCGGTTGGAGGGGGGCCTTTCAGGACGATAACATCAATAATAACAATATATCAATGTATTTAACAAGTAAGACTTTATTACGGAATAACGTGACATAATTATATTACCTCAATTAGATGAAAAATATATGTTATATGTATAATTTTAGTATAAATAACTTAAATTTACACGGCATTACATCCTCTTTAACAATTTAATAACGTTATTTGGCACACCACAAATGGTTGTAGTAATTAATTTCAAGGTTGATTACTCTTAATTACTTTATGTGTCCTTTAAAAAAATTCATTTGCGTAATGAAGGTAAAGTTGATGAAGTAAGCAAACAGTTTAAGACTGTTCAAAGCTATTGGTACACTTGATGTTAAAATTTGAAGTTTAAAATTTAAAATCGTAATTTTTAAAATTTAAAATCACAATAAAAATTACTTGAATTAAAAACTTATAATCAAATAAATATTTGAAGATAAATTTTTAAATCTGATTCGAAACTCACGATGAAATACCAGATAAGCAAAGTATATACTGCTCATATTGTGTTCTTCGATATGCTATAAAAAGTACACATAATAATATACTAACTAATAAATATTTTTATTTTTATTTATATTATGTATATACATAAACATGTTCATGAAAATCCAAATGTCTAAAAAAGGGAAAAAAAATCACACAAATTTTTCTTATTTCATCATTTCAAAGTTGCTAAGAATTAAACTGTTTCCAACAGCATCTTGCTCAAAAAGATACCCATCAAAGTCGCCATCTGATGCCCACCACGGTGGGTACAGCCACCCGTCCACTGAATCACTGATCTTCAATTCGGTCTTCGATTCTTCCGACTCAAAACTTCCGTCCAAGCTTGGAAGCTCTATAATTTCACCCAGTTCCTCCGACGCCGACGTGATTTTGTCAATTGAACTAACAGAGGATGTAGAAGAGACATAATTTAGATCCTCCATTGCAGCTGCTTCAGCTGCAGCAGCTTGAACATCTCTCGGTGAGAGTGAAATTGGGCGAGGCAATGAGTCAATTAGGTGAGGGAAATTTAAAATCGATGAGTCCTTTTTTATGCTCAATGCAGCGACGTCGTGTGCTCTAGCCGCCATTTCTGCAGTTGGATAAGTCCCGAGCCAAATGCGTGACTTTTTACGCGGTTCGCGAATTTCAGACACCCATTTTCCCCAACTTCGCATACGAACTCCTCTATAAATTGGGTGTTTATTACCTTTTTCATCACTCTCTCTTATTCGCTTTGACATTTAATTAGTATAATTTCCTCGAATAGTAAATACCTTAACTTTAATCTTATAATTATAAATACGAATTATTATAAGATGGATGTTGAGAAGAAAGAGAAATATTTATGATCAATTGAATTCTGACATACTGTATTAATATATTAGGATCGAAGAGTTCCTTTATGAAAACAGGGGAGAAAAAAATAATCAAATGTGTCAATTTCTACTTTAGAGAAGAATGGGAATGAAACATGGAAAAAGACAAAAATTGAAGTATTTTTGGGAGAGAGGAAATTGGAGTGTGTTTTTCTCAGAGAGAAATGGACTTCATTATCATACATTCTGAACAAGCTTAATATATATATTTATATATGTCAGGTGTAGAGAATTATTACTTGTCAAATTACAAAGAACGTCTGTAATATAGACAAACAATACGTAAAATATTAGGTTTAGGTTATTAAATTTGTCGTACGATTTACTTTGAACGTTAAAATAACACTTTATTTCTATTAAAAATATGGATGACGAATTGACGATTAACCAACCACTACTAATGCATCTTTAATACTAACAAAAATGATTTAAAGTAGTTTAAAATATACATATTGATTGTGTAAACTGTAAAGTACTTCTAAATTTATTAGCGTATTTGAATAGGTAACCTATCATGGTTTTTTTGTCTAGTTCATCTCACTTTTTTATGAATAACTGATTATCATAACTACATTTAATTTAACCAAGTAATATACTCCATATATTTCATTTTAAATACCAGAATTTTTCTGGACAACGAGTTTAAGAGAAATAAAAAGTTCATATTTTGTAATTTCAAATAAAATATATGAACTTTTTATCGTCATTAACAATAAAACATGAAAAAAATAGCATTGCTATTTTTAATTTAAAAATAATGAAATTGATGGAATATTTTTTTTTCCATACTGCATTATTTCTTCCATTAGTGAAGATGAAAACCTTCCAAAGTCCCAAAGCATTATTTTAGAAAACTAACCAACAAGAAGGTATAGTCACTATCATGCTAAAAAGGGTCCCAAAAAAGCTCAATAAAAGTCCATGTTCTTAAATGTAGTTATTTATAGCTTGTAAATTAAAATCATCCACGTACTCTTCTTTCATTTGTACATACATGGGATGCAACCATTATACCTTTGTCCCTTAACACGTGCTCCACTTTAAAATCACAACATGACCCATCTCCTTATATTGGTGAAAGGCCACCTCCTACTTTCTCTAATTTAAAAATAAATAAGCCTCATTTATTTATTCTAAACGAATAATGATAATAAAATATTAAATATAATTTCACTAGTCCAATATGAGAGGATAGAATATATAAGCATGCATATTGTTTTCTTATTTTGTGAAAATGAAAAGACGATTTTCTTTAACAACATTTAAAAGGCATTAACTACGGGAAAAATAATTGGATCACAAAGGGAATTTACTGTATGCAATATAATATTTTATATTTTAAAAGATATTATTTTCACCGTTCGAATCTATAAATATCAAAATAGCTAATAGTTTCGCAGTTTTCCGTGTACATCATTTTACAACATATATCTTTGATTTGTTTAAAAATTAAATAGCACGTCACAGTTAGTGACGGATGAATGTTTAGTTGACTTACGATTAATGAAACTAATAAGTAGCCGTTTGGCAAAATTGCGTGTGCATAAATTGCACTGATTTTTTGAAAAGGAAAATGGAAGATGAGTTACTAATTTTAAAGTAATTTTGACTCATTTCATAAAATTATTTTTTACTTTTTAAAACTAATATATATTCAAATACAATTTTAAACTTAACTTCAAATATTACCTCGTATTTTTGTTCAAACCCTACAAAAAGGAGATAGAGTAATAAAGTGCAGTACTAGTACAGTTAAAAATACTAATTTTGGACCAGGTTCATCATTTCTGTAACAATCCTCTCTTTTTCCCTATTCTACTTATGACATTCTTGTGATAGTCACAGCACAAAAACTTGTTTATTTTTTCAGTAGCAAGATACTTCGAGAAAAGTGACACTTGTCTTGAATGTATTAATCCAAACGGCCTTACACCAACCAACAGGCATTATAATACTAATGCCTAAGTCATAATCATTTTGTTAACAATTGATGAGGTAAGGGCTGGCAAAATAAATGGACAACTTTCATATATAGCCATTTAAAAATATCTTAATTATTAACTATAGTTATAATATGATAATATAATTCGTAGGTAAATGTTATATGGATGATAAGAGGCGAGTAAAATTGGAAGAGAGAGGAGAGAGGAGAGAGACAAAAAAAAGATGAACGAAGGTGAATTATATATGTATATCGGTTAGATAATTATATATTATACATATGTATATGCATATATGGCAAGCAAATTGAGAGGGAGGAGAGAAGCGAGTGAGACTGGGAGGGGGAGGAGAAGGCGAGCGAGAATGGGAGAGGGAGAAGAGAGGCGAGCGAAAGAGGGCATAGAGTGGGAGAGAGGTGGATTGTATATTATACATATGCATTTGTATATATGGCAAGTGAGATTGGGAGAGGGAGGAGAGAGAAGAGCGGGATTGGAAGAGAAAGGAGGGAGGCGAGCGAGATTGAGAGATACGAGAGAGAGAGGACAAATAGTGGGAGAGAGATGAATTGTATATATATATTAGTAGATAATTGTATATTATACATATGTATTTGTATATTCTGGCGAATTATACATATACAAGCGTGACTAATTATACAAACTCGAAGTTAGTCCACATAATTAATGCATTATATTAGTCGTGAATAATAATTATAATAAATTATAACTATGATGAGTAATTTAATAGTATAAATTTACTTAATCGCATAATTTTCCATAATAAAAGATGGGTAAAAGGATTAAGGAATTTTGGGCTACTAGAAAAGGCCTTAGAAGCTGGACCCAAAATAGACGCTTCATTTTCATAGTTAAAAAGGCCCAAAGAGAAAATAGGCCGAAATCCTCTAGGAATCACTAAAGGATCTTTACGCAAATAGCCAACTGAATTCACTGTTTATTTTCTTAGCCAGTATACATATTTTGTACATTGATCCCCCACCCACCACCCAAAAGTTACTTAAAAGTACCATATAAATATTTTTGAGATAGTATTAAACACTTAAAAATAAGAAAAAATATCAATACATAATTTTCAATAAATTATTATCTTTTGTAATAAATCACTTTTTATCTTTTTTTAAAAAAAGAATCACCTTTTATCTTGATTTGTCAATTGTCACAAGTCCGTTTCAATAATTGTGTTATAATATTAATGATCATGATTCACGATATGTTTGTTTTTATTTTTCTACTATATAACTTGTCGTGAGCACCATCAACACTAGAAATTAATCTAAATCATTAGCAGTTTTGAAAATGTGAGTCTTTCTTGCACATTTAAGTTTTGAGCACCATATAATTGCTCGTCTTTTTTACACTTTCTCTTCACTTATAATTCACGAGCTCACTCTAAATACAAATAACCCTTTTTCTTCATGAAAGGTGCGCATTCTTTAAATTATTACATTCATAACATAAATATCATGATATTTAAATTTCACTACGTAACTCAAGTATTTTAAACCTCTTAAAATATAAGTTTCATACGTAACAATTACATAAAATTTACTATATTCATAAATTTATTTAAAAATTATTATACTTTTGTGATGTGATGCACTTCACTTTTTTAAAATAAACTATTTTATTTTACCTTTTTATATGATAATTTGTAACCCACACGCATCTTTAATTTATTTTTGGTCATAATTTTCTTTAACTTTCTAAAAAACAATATTCTCTGTCTTATTAAAAAGCATATGACATAAATTAGGACAAAAAAATAAAATATAGCAATTCATAGTTGCCCACTAACAAAGATTATGATGTACTTTTCCTTTCCTAACTCATTCATATAAAAATGTAGACTTTTTAATATAAATTTAATTTTTTTTTTAACTTCAATTTCGTTTAATTTTTTTTTTTGTGCCACTTCTTAATCAGTGATACCGTCGATTTTCCTCGTAACAAACTAAATTGAATTTAGGGGTAGCTGGTTGGAGCTAAATCCCAAGTTGGATTTAGGTATGGAACTGCCAAATAATATCAATTTGCAGATTTATTTCTCTCTCTGCCTCGATGGCTTCGCTTTTAAATACTCCCTTTTCACCCCTATCCATTTTCTTCTTTCCTTTTTCCTCGCCTTTTCAATGGCTTCCCTTTTCGCTCTCCGAATTTCCAGTTTACACAATCAGTAAGTTCTCTCCTAAAATTTACTCTTTTATCTTTACTTGTATGCATCGAATTGTTGAATCCTCAAATCGGGAAGAGTCAACGCGAACGATTTGCTCCTTTGTATTTCTTAATCGAGTAATGTCGATTTGTTGTTGAAGCTTTTGCCTTTTAGTACATCAGATTCATTTGGGGGCGGGGGAGTGAATGCCCAGTCTGTGTTTGGGGAATTAATAAACATTAGTTAATGGTGGAGTATATTTGTGGATTTGTTCTTGTTCCGTGAGATAAGGGAATGGGAATTTTAAGTCGAGACACTGAAATCAGCAATCGTTCCATTCTTGAGCTAGCCCAAATTCACTTCTCTACACATATCTTGTAGGAATAGATGTTATAACTAAAATATAAAGCATCAATCTTTCTATTCTATTTTTTGTTTTGTTAATTATGTAAATCAATTTATTCAGAAAATGTATTGGTACAATCAAAGAAGACTGGCTCAAATGGAGGAGTGACTTAAGAGGTTTCTAAAAAAGTGAATGTCAAGTTCTATCGAATGATTGTGAACCATTTAATATTATGTGGGAAGGAATGTTGGGCTTCTAAGATTGATGGATGTGTGATCATACTAGATTGGACGAATTAGAAATGATCACGTTTGATAAAGGGGACAAGTACATGTAGAAAATAGACTGAGGAAGATTGCTCAAGAACATAACACAGTGAAATCAAATGGTCAATATAGTATCAACTAGTTGGTATTAAAGTTGTTTTACACTTCAATCTAGTTTGGCAAGGTATTCTTGTCTGTGTTAGACTTGTATATCAGTGTAGTGATGAGTGTGAGATTTTGACAAAATCTACTTTCAGAGAACTCCTTATTTACTTATTTACTAATATTTATATGAAGTATGTCCAAATTAGAATGGCGTGGATATAGAGAACATGTATGTCAACCACAACTTGCTTGGTCTGGAGTATTATTGATTGATTTTTAATAACAAGTGCAATGTGAATAAGTCTTCAAGTGTATACAATTCAAGAAGGAAGGAAAAGGTTT